GAGAGCTTCGACCCGGAGATGCAGGAACGACGTCGCCAGGAGAGGAAGGAGAAGAGAGAGCAGGAGTGGAAACAAAGGGAGGAAGCGCGGCAGCAGAGACTTAAAGAGAGAGAGGAGAGGGAAAAGACGATGAGGGCGAGGCGTGAGCGCTTCCGCTCTTCTCATTCCAGATCAAGGTCGAGATCGGCCTCACGCTCGCGTCGATCGAGATCTCCTGGGGATGGTCGCAGCCGTGATCGACGTAGTCGAGGCCGTGATAGTGTCAAGGCAAATCGTGACTCGAAAGCTAGTCCGCGGTCTGCAGTAAAAGAACGGCCCTCTCGTCGGTTGTCGTCGGCTTCCGAACGGAAGCGCCGTTCAGTATCCTCGTCCAGTTCTGGATCGTCACGCAGCAGGAGTTCCAGCGCGTCCAGCCGTTCTCGCTCTCGTTCACGCGGCCGGAAAGCACGAAAGGGAAAGAATAGCGAGAAGGATTCGACAGCCAGCCAAAAGACCAAGCGCTCACGTTCGCACTCCTCCAGTAATTCGGAGTCAGAGTCGGGGTCTAGTTCCGGTTCGGATATGGACTCGGACCGCAATCGGCGCAGCCGTGGTGTGTCCCGTGCTAAGGAAGCCAAGATCACGAAAGGAAAGATCAAAGAGGAGAAGCTGTCTGTGAATGTATCGCCTGCACGCTCCGCTGTTCGCAACGGTGAGCGCAAGGTCTTGAATCTGTCAGGCCGCTCGGCGCCCGCAGTGGCTAACGACGAATCACCTGTCAAGGAGGAATCAAAAGAGAGTGTTCCGGCAGCAGCTCAGGTGAAAGATGGCAAAAAGCCGAGTCCTTTTACTGAGAAGCAGGGGGTAAAGCGCGAGGCATCACCTGAAAAGAAGGTTGAAAAGATGGAGAGTCTCCCAGGCGCACTGCCCGTTCGAGTGAAAAAGGAAGAGAAGGCGGACACCCCGCGGTCTCCTGCTGCAGAATTGCAGGCTCAGTCGCGCAAGCGCAAGCTGCGCAGTGCGTCTCCGGACGACCGTCGTCGTCACGGGCGAAGTTCGAGTACCGCCTCTTCTCGGGCTTCGCGCGGTTCACGTCGCCGCCGTGTACGCTCCCAGTCCCGATCTCGTTCGGTGTCTTCGGATAGATCTCGTTCACGATCTGTCTCGTCAAATTCGTCGCGCTCCCGCTCACGCTCCCGTTCGGAGCCTCGTTCTCGCCGGCGCAGCAGCTCTCGGAGACGCCGTCGCAGCCGCAGTCGTAGTCGCGGTCGAAGCTATCGCCGTTAAGATTCGTGCAACCTTGGAACGAAGTTTACTGCCCCTCGTTGCCAACGGTGCTGGATGATACGATCCTTTATGGCTAGGAGTTAAGAAAAGAAACGAACAGCAAAGTGCCAAAAATGCTGTTGGCGTAATCTTGTTCCGTTTGTTACACTTGACTTTTGTATGGGACCCATTGTAATACCAACTCTTTTTCACGCACTTGAGAACACGCCTCCAATGTCTTCCTCTTCCTCCGCCGCCACGGCCGCCACTTCCCAGCCGCCGAGCACCAGCATCAACATTCCAGAGGATGGACGACCGTTCCTCTCAGAGTCCGGCACCAACTCCAGCTCTGGTGGGCTTCCGTCAGCAACAACCGCCACGTCTAGTGGCTGCTCGCGTGCTCTACAGCGGCGCTTCCCGCGCGTTCGACGCTGCCTCACCCGTGCATCGATGGAAGTACCCACGAGCAGAGCAGCCAGTGGTCTGACGGTGATTATGGCGCTGCTGATGGTCGGAATCGTGGGAACATTCGCGCTGCGCCAGATGATGAGCCCGGAGATCGAGGCACTCACGCAGCAACGCGAGAAGCTCAAGGACGACGTGATGGCACTGCGCCTACAGGTGAGGGTCTCTCACTGAAGTTAATATCTTAGTTTCGATGGCTGATAGTTCTACTGGTGATGTTGCTGCTTGGTAGGTGGAGAACATTACGCGCATCGCAGAGAGTCGCTTAGAAACCATTCATTTGTTGGAGACAGAGCTAGAGCGGCAGCACGTACAAGCAGCGGAGGCTGCGGCAACTGCCACAACTGGCACAGAGCACGGCGCCATTCCCCACGTGGCCAACGAAGACCTCAAGGGTGGTGAACTCCGTCCGAGTGTAGTGCTGCCAACAATTTTTTATACTCTGCTGCTGGGCTCCGTTCTGCTCGCGTCTGTGCTATACCGAATCTTCTTAATCATCCGTGGCGAGATCATCGCCCAGTACAAGTTAGGAAAGAAGCAGTATGCTGGTGGCAATGGCTCTAGCGGACTCATGATGCCATCAGTCTCGGAATCGTCCATGGACAGCAGGCGGAATGGACGAGGAACACCGCCGCTGTCACCCACGCGAGGTCCAATCGTTGACGACTCGGTGTCCAGTGGCGGTCGATCTGCTGCATCTGGGGGTGCCAACTCGTCACTCAGCCCTAAATCAACCAGTGAGCCTTCGCCTCAGTGTTACAAGCGAGCGCCAGGATCATCGCCAACGATCGTCTAAGTACCCATGTTCAAACATACTTCGCAGAGTTCACAGTTGTAACACATTGCAATAAAACAGCAGCTGCTGGCTGATAAAGTTTTCGACTGGCGAGGGGGCGTTGGAAAACTATTTAATAACTGCTCCAAGATCGAGAGGCCGCTCAGCACTCGCGAAATGGACGGTATTGGTGGGGGCAACACGTTCTTTGTGTCGCGCCACCATGAACACCTGCCTGCTACTCTTGATGAGCTGCTGAGGGTGTCATCAAAGTGTGAGTCTATCTCAGGAAATGCAGATACAGCGGACGTGATAAGTTTGCGAGCGCCGGATGCTGACGACGCAGATAGTGATAGCGATTTTCAGTGCAGCGATGAAGACTACGACGACGATATCGACAGCAGCGAATCAGAACTGGACGAGTGGCGACTCCACGCGGCAGAGCCCCGAGAAGGTCTGTATCTGCACGAAATGCGGCACCAGCGTGGTCGCATGGACGAGAAGGAGGCCCAATGGGTGCGTGGATATATCAAAGCCCAAAGAGCGTGGAAGGCCCGGACTGGACGCAGTATTGATGAATTTTATATTCCCAACACCTCTGCTCACGGAATGAAGAAATCTCTACCAGTCAAGGAAAATTGGTCGTGCACGTCATTTACACAAGAACGAGGGCAAGAGCAGGAGGCTTCGCTACTTGTGGAAATTACGGGCCTAGAGACAGTCTTGTTGATAGCTGCAGTCGTGTTTATTTGCCTCTCGGTTGTCGTTCAGCTGTAATACATATCTGTAGGAGGATACTGCGGGTGATTA